AGAACCAGTAACATTTTCCCCAGGAGTTTTCTAATTCTTTTACCAATTTCAGGGTCAAAGCGTTTTGTTATTTTGTTCATTACGATTTTAAGCAATTTCAGCCTCGGAGATCTTATAGAATGTGTTCTTATAAAAAAAAAAACATATATAAAATAAGTCTTCGTTAGATCTAAAGTAGGCCTATACATATTTTATTATTCTAATTATGTAAACTATGCCAACTCATTTTCTTTCTTTAGCTATACCAAACTTTTGTATTTACGAAACCAATTATAGGAGCTGACCAAACATTAATCTAATCCTTGTTTAGACAGTTGCTATTTATCACCTTTTTATGACATCGAAGTTATATATTGCATGCACACTATAATTAATTAGATCGTAACTGCTCTATAAAGTGTGAACTTTACCGACATACTCTGTGTGACGTCAAAGGGATGTGGAAATATTTCGTAGATAGTATGTTCATGTAGACCTATTGAAGCTATGCGCAACGTCACAGATTATACAGCATCACAAAGTAGGCCTATATTGATCTAGCTAAGGGTGGCTATATTATTAAGAGTCGTAATAATTATGTAGGCTTACTAAGAATATGACGGGAACAATTAATACGAAGTTTTGATACATCTGTTGAATATAGTAATTAAGCTGGAATTTCAAAACGTTTTGTCCGTGATACGTTTATCAAAATGTGACACAAGCTGTATAGTCCTTGTTGTTTGTTAAAACTTGTTTTATAGAGTACCATAGTGAACGATTGATTGACTTGTGTTTAAAACACACAACTAATGCCTCGATTTAGAAGTCTACCGGGGCGGATCGAGTTTTTCGAAAAATGGGTCTTTAATTATAGAATCTAGGGCAGCGAACACCTGTAATGTTAATCATCAAACGTAATCTTGTTGAAATATGATTAAAATGAGGCTTATGTATTTCCCTTTAACAGGGGGAAGTTCTGGATAAAGTACGGTAATAAAAATGAAATTTTCGCAGTCAAGATCGTGGGAACTTTCCTCTTGGTCCCCTTTCTTGATCCTTCCCTGAAGTTACAGTACGATTTGTCCTTAAGTTCCCATGACACTGCGCAGTTACTATATTTGACACATCACCTCCATTCACGAAGTCAAATATAGAAATATTCTACTGTGTGTACATGATTACGCATTTATTGATGCCTAACTACTCGAAGACAATTTGTGTTTGTAAAGTCATAACTGTGACAACTTTATTATACCAACATGACCTTTCGTATGAAGGTGGTGGTGCTGCTGGGGCTATACATTTGCCTTTGGACTTAATATGCATTATTTGTCCATTTTTACGGTCAAATAATATGATTTCCAAATAACCAAATAAGTTAATAACTTCCAGTGAAACACGTATCAAAACAAGTTTTGATGAATTAGATATTGTACTAAAAAAATCCGTCAATTTATCCCAGTGTCACCTGCTAGAGGTTCATGTTTTGATTGGTTACACAATGTTGGTATGTATTGTATATAAGCTTGTAAATACCGGTATGCATGATTTTTCATTCCTGATGATGACATATATTAATGTCGAAATATGGAATCCCAACACGATGACGTGCATTTCAATACTTGGACTCATTATACTTTATTTTTTAGATTAATCAGTGGACCTTTCGGTTTTACTTTAAAATGCAAAGTAACCAATTACAATATTAAAATATATTTTTAAAGCCCGTGACAGACGGTATAGGCCTATAGTGTATCTATAATACATGATCATGAGTTACAATAAGCATGTAATATACATGTTTTCAGTCATATTTAAACATGGTTTAATGTGTGATGTTTAAAATCACAGGTGTGTTCTGTCCTAGATACTATATAATACGCATGCGCAGGTGTTTCTTGTCCCATCGTAATAACAGTGTAATCTAAATTATAGTGCAGTGCATATCAATTT